TTTGTTTTGTTCATTATTTTGTTAAAGTATTTTGTCACTATTATAAGCTACTAGCTGGCCCAACAAATAAAGTTTTGCGCTTTAAATTTTATTTGCATTTTTAGTAATGTTTCACTTTTTACTCTTCTACAGGTATATGAGTTTATAACGTCAACGTTATGTATAAATCAAAGTATGAAAAATTCTGTCTCTTCACTTTAGGTCTTTGCACGCGGCCGGCCAACACCCCAGGATTGGCCCTGTCTAGGGGTAATCTCAAAAAATTAAGAATATTTGTATACGCCACTGCAGCCCCACCAACTATTTCACGTGAGAGGCGGAATCAGAATAGGAATTTTTATAGGGATTCGCAGAAGGATTTAATATACGGTGGGCTAATCCGCGGCGCACATGCACGGCGGAGTTGGTACAGTGGCACTTGAAGACCTATTGAAAAATTTGAAAATATATTACAAAAAAATAATTTTATAAAAATAGGGTAATCTCAGACAAAAAAACCTCAGAATTCAGTTTAAACACACTTACTTAATTGAATTACAATAAAAAATTATTATGTAAAGAATATTCCTCCTTTGTTATGTTCCAAAGGAAGTGCACTCGCGAGATTTTGGAATTTGAGGGAGAGTGTTCCGGCTAGTGCTTGCTAGTCAAGACTGACCTTGGGATTACACTTTTCTTGCCCATAGTAGGGGCATTTCAATTTAAGATTACATGGGAAAGATTCTATCCCGATGGATCGTATGTCTTTTGTAAACAGCATCTTTTGTCTCTATTTTTAAGAAAAAAGATTAACACAATAATGCAGCAACTATCTACCAAAATTAATAATGCTCCAAACTATAATTTAAAAATTTAACATTCATTTTCAAGGATTCATTCAGTGTTAGGTTGGACGATTTTCAAGATCATATAAAAATTACTCATCTTTTCATAAATCTTGATATCCTTTTTCAATTTCTTTACAAGGCGTTACTTGTTAAGCCCCCCCCCCCTCCGAAATCCAAATCAGAATTATTAACCAACAGAACCTTGCCAGACTGAAAAGTATCTATAAGGAACTTATTTCAACTCAAGAGATAAAAATTATATTGGATTATGGAATCTTGAAACGACAGGCAATTTTCCAAATTTACACGATTTGGCTGTTAGATATTATTATAGTTTTAGATCAACATATGTTTGTGAACAAATGTTTTCTAAACATCATAATATCTCTCAAAACTAATTGATATACACCTAAAATAGCTTAATTTTGTTAGCATATTCAAGAACTTATCCTAATATAGATGAATATGTTCAATAATAATTAGAATTAGTTGTTTCAAATTATTATTTTCCTTTTATACCTGAAAATATTGGTCAAAAGTAAAATAAAAAAAATTGTTAACAATAAAATCTTTGCGTTTGTTACATTATTTTCACAGCTTAGACTTGTATAAAAAATATGTTATTGTCATAAAAATCCCATAAGCCAACAAGTAATATTTTTTCACGTTCCTTTTTGTTTGTTAAAAAAGTTGGAAGTGACATGCATATTAAATAACTATCAGATAGTCTCACTCTTACCTAAAGGGTTGATCACCCCCTTGCCTTATACATCATACGTGGCCACAGTAGCCTAGTGGTCAATGTCACGAACTCGTGGCTGGCGTGTCATGAATTCGAGACTAATTCCGCTGAAGACCCGCCGTGCAGAGGGATCCAATGCACGTTAAATATGTCGAGAGGTTCTTCCCTTTGGTGTGGGAGAAGGATCGTCCTATCACCATGGTTCAAAATGATCAGGTTCGTGGCCAAAAGCCTCGTGCAGCTTTACATTGCGACTCAGTGTCACTACTGAGGCATCATACAACGTCGAGAAATTAAAAGGGGATAGCTGAACTTTAAAGCTTTTGTTTGGCGGGGTGTGAAAGTTTGATGAATGATGTATCTTTTAAGGCATTGTGTTTACCGTCTAATATTCGTGGTTCGAAGAAGAGATAAATATTGTTGCCAATAAATCTTTGTGCCGTTCTAAAGTGAATTTTACTTGAAAATGAAAATAATACCGTTCATGTCTGAATACAACATCATCATTAAAATTCAGAAGGGAATAAAAAAGGGGCATCGTGTATCCTGTGTGATAATTCCAAGAATTAAAAAAAAATTCAAACAGAAAAAAAATGGCGATGTAGGAGGTCGCTTGCATAAAATAATTACCCTGATCTCAAAGTTTATTATTGTGACGACATCAATAATCTCAGATAAATACTATACAGCTTCTAAGAATATCAGAAGAGAACCCTGTTTTTCTTCAGGATATGCCTATCCATTAATAACGCTATCTAGCTCTTAAATATGAGAGTTTTTCGAAGGAGGAAAAAAATAATAAACATTTTTATCACGGTGTGTTTAGTCCCCATCGAGTATTAACGACACTTCTTCAATTGCTATCTCTGCGACTGTAACCACGATAATGTAAACGAATGAAAGGAGAGCGAGAAAGTGTCGTAAAAAGAAGTGGAGGATAGAAATTGTGACGTCATCTCATCCTGCCAATCAGGAAAAGTATACAACTATCGTTCGTCTCTTTCCTCGCGTATAACTACTTCGGGCTTCAGTTCGTTTTATATGTCAGACAATTTGTAATTCTTTTCCAGGAAAAGTTAAAATTCCTCGCGGCTCCGAAAAGTGTTCTTTTACGAATGGATTGTTGAGTTGCAAAACAGGTTTATGAAGCTAAGTGTGTCGAAAATTGTGCAGTAATAAACATTCATGCACTAATAGAGATACAAAGATTTTAGAACAAAAGTTTTAACACAGGTGAGTGATTTTGTAGTTACTTTACTTGTTTTTTTTCTAGCTTTTCCATCGTTTGTTTTGATCTTGATTTCATCATCTGGTTGAAATAAAAATGTTCTTAACAAAAAATAAAGAAAATGTTTCTAACGCAAAAGAAAAAAAATGTTAAAACCAGAAATAAAAAAAAAATATTCATAACAAGAAATAAAAGTTTTAACAAAAAGCAAATTTATTTCAAATGTAGAGATACCACTTTATCAAGAAAAATAAATTAAAAAATAATAATAAATAAAAAAAAACCTAGATTTATTTTTGAAAGATATGTTGGTATTATACTTTAAGTTCTTGCTGATTTTTTGAACAATATTAATTCGTAATTTCAACCATAACTGAACTGAGTTTTTTTAAAAAATTTTTACGGTTGGATTTTAAAAACTATTTATTTTTATAATGTTCAGTTGATGCATTAGTTATCATAATAAAAAGTTATAAATACCTGAAAGCATATTTGAGGAAATACACTATATAAAAATTATGAAATTCAATTTTTCAATGATTTGATTATATTGACTTTATTTCTCATATATTCATTTTATTTTGATTTCGTTATTCAATTTAGGAATAAATTCAAAATTTCAGGATTTCTTAAGTTCATTTAAAATCTAAATTTGCTGTTTTACTATAGATTCTCATTTTTTCCAGAACTTCTCTACCCATTTCTTTTTTTATTCAAAAGTATTCATTATCTAATGTTTCGGTCAATTCTTGATCTTTTAGAGTTTCCGTAATCTAAGAAATTTATAAGACGAAGTGCTATTTTGATATATTTTATCTTTTTAAAACTGCTTGAGAACTTTTTCAAACATTGCTTTGCTTGGAAGAAATATTTGAAGGCAGTTCGCATTAAAAACTATATAGAAGGTTTTAAAATAACACTAAAAGATATATTGCATAACATATTAAATTCTAATATTGAATGTATTAATTTTCTTATCTTTATTCTTGAAGGAAAAAGCTTGAATTTTTTTTATTAAGTTTCCAAATAATATATTAAAAATATTCGGATAATTAAGATTTTTATTTGAGTAGTTTTCTATTGTTCTGAAAAACATTTTTGTGAAATTAATTATCTTAACCAGACAGTGTGTTAAATGAAAAAATAAAATCCCTCTGCTTTGTTACATTGTGATTTAATTTCGAGGCTTGTTTGAACTATTCTCCGTTGAACACTTCTATTCTGCAGAAGGGTTCTCTAACCACAGGCAATACTCCTTAGATTGCGGTCAGATAACGCGGCCGACACCTAACCTTTTCAACATCCAATCAACGCGAGGACTTGGAGATTGAGTGGCATCAGCACCTCTACTAGCGGATCTTTGGAGGCTTAGCATAGTGCTTACCTTGGGATTTGGTGGACAAACCTCGTAATCTGTAACCATGGTCAAGTGATGAGCTGGCCCCTCCTCTCTAAACTCTCAGACCATGCTATCTTTGAGCCATTTAATTCTCTAATGGCGTATTTTCAATGGCATCAGGAATTGAACTCTCGACCCTCACCAATAGGCGGCCACGGATCTTTAGAGGTGGTTCAATTAGAACTTGAGCTCCATAACAATACCGTGGACGTTACTTGGGAATTAAATAAAATTATAAAGTTTATGTTATCGGCTTATTATGCTAAAATCCAATAAATGCTACCGAATGTGAAAACATTTAGATCAGGGTTGAGCAATTAGCGGCTCGCAAAGAGAATCCGAAAACTAAACAAGCAGAAAATTTTTTCTATATTTGGTTGGACACATAGACTTGTGAGCAAGAATTTGCTTACATCGAAATCAACAAGAGAAAACGTAGATGCAAGTTAGGGTTGACATGAACTTGCAGGCTGTGATGCGAATTAAAAAAAATAACGATCTCTCTGTCCTGATTTTAAATAATATGAAAAAATAAATACTTTTAAAGTCAATTCCTACTTAGGTCAACAAAGAAAAACTTTATTATAGTTACTTTTATTAAATAATCACGATTCATATAAATATGTATATACATATGACAGATTCACAATAATAAGTGGAAAAATAAGAAAGCGATTTTCCATTTTCCTGTCTATAATTAGTTTGGACTATTATTTTTTTGTTTGTTACTATTTTTATTCATTAATTAAACTTAATTTTACCAATAAAATAGTATTAAAGGAATCACATTCTCAGAAACTAGGCCGTCCCAGGTGGGATTCTAACTCACGACCTTTGGATTCGTAGTTCAACAAGCCATCCATTGCGTTACAGAGACACAGCGAGCAGTTTTCCTTTTTATATATGGTGTTGAACTATTATTTTTCTTACTGTTTATTAATTAGTTAGTTTAATTAATTAATGATATTTGAAAAAACTGTATTTACATCAAGTGTCATATCCACTACAAGTTTTAAAAAATGTATTTGAACTTGAGTGAATGAATAAAAAGTATCTTATTAACGATTGAATATTTGAATATATATATATATAGGGATAGTGGAAGGAATTGGAAAAAATGTAGAAAAATGGAATAGATTTGTCTCATTAAACTGATTTTAAAATGAAATATGCTAGCAGCGATAGACGATATGAAATTAGGACAGTAAATAAATTGAATAAACTGCCACTATTTGATTTCCATTTATTGATTTTTATTACCCGATTTATACTTTTTCTGAGATGCTAAGTTAACTAATTAATTTTAAAAATAGCCCCCTCCCCTCCTCCGGTATCCTCCACTTCCACAATGTGGCCCTCGATCTGAAACGATTGCCTACCCCTGATTTAGATAATTCTTTATTTTCTATTTTGTTACAAAAATCGGTAAAATGCTTCCTTAAAAATTTATTTATCATTATATACGGCTTAGAGACGTAAAATTGCATACCACAAAAACCGCAAGCAATAGTTGTTGAAATATTGCTGCTACGTATTCTTTTGTATTTACATGAATTCTCGAAACTTGTATGATATTGAAAATTTTTATTTTTTTCCACAGCTTAGAAAAACAAAACTATGACCCACATTAGTGATACTGGATCACGTGAACATTATCAAATAAATGTATTGTGTAACCAAATACGCACGAGGCTATAAATAGCCAAGAATCTAGATTTTTATCTATTTTCTTGTGCTTTTTTATGTGTACTTTTCTATAAAAAACCTGTTCTTAAATATATAGTAGATAATATTTATTCAACGGTCAAAGGATTGACAGAATGTCAATATTTAGAAAAGATAACTCGTGAACGATGTTAGAAGAATTTTTCAAATGATCTTTTTTGGGATGCTTTTTCTTTCTTTGATAAATATACTCTCATATTTGCAAAGAAAATAATTTTTACTTTTGCATTTCTATGATTCTAAGCGAAAACTGAAAGCTATATCGTGTATGAAAAAGCTCCTTCTTAGTGTTTACGAGTATACTACATTCAGAACCGTGTAAATGAATAATTTTTTTCGGTATTTAATGTCAGTTGTGAATTTTAAAATAAAAATTGTTTTTAGAATATTATTACAAAAAAAAAATATATTTAAACGCAAACTTTGACAAAAAATGAAGAGCATTTTCTTTTTATGAAAAATGCTTCTATAATATATAATAATATTTTGCATCTATAGTGCTAAAACTTCTGTACGGAGCTTGAAGGAGGAAAAATTAATTTTATTTTCATTTACGATCAGTTGAAATAATAACCATTGTTTTTGTGTTAAAATTTCTCTACTCATACAAATTAATGCATGAAAAAACTAACTCCTAAATTATATATTTTATAAATTCTAGTTTGATCCTATACATAGGCAAAATATATTATTTTAGTAGCTTTTTTTCCGCAAAAGGAGAATGTTTTGAAAATAAATCATTTTTTACCCCAAAATTGCATTTAAATAGTTTTTCCTTGTAATATTCATAAAACAACTTTATACGTCTATTCTAACTCAAGAGATTCTAAATATCGAAAAAAATATTCATTTATACGCTTTTGTAGAATTACGCATCTGAACGTAGTCACAGTTCGTTCATCATTTTACACATGAAATTGGGAAGATTAACTGGATTTTAATCCTGTTAAAGCCAGTATTGAAAACGATACATTTGCTATGATGCGTTTCAGCTACATCTCCATGAAGGCAAAACAAATGAATTATATTGTTTCGGCTTCTTCTTGATACTAAATTTTCTTGGAAGCAGCACTTAAGTTACATATCAGAGAAATGCGACAAATTGCACGCAACAAGTTCGATATAAATTTTAAAGTACATTCGCTCATTTATTAACAAGTAATCGAACCATTCGTTATGTAGGGTTCTAGATTTTAAGGTAAGGCACTTAAAAGAAAGATGAGTTCTAAATATGTGCTACACATACAAAGAAGGATACTTTTGCGGGTCATCGGACCTTAAGTTGAGTCATTTTATGCTCTTTCTCCAATCGACATTGCTATTCTTCATAATATTGCTTTGAGGGAAAATCTCGCTGCGTCTTCTATCTCTAATTAGGATTGAATACTGTCTCCATTTTTTATCCCTCCAGAGAGGAATTCCATCAATAGTATTCAACTTAGTGACAAAAGCACGGATGATTTCTCTGTTATTTGCTATACTGATGGCAGTAAAATTGATGGCAGAGTTGGTTTCTCTGTTGTTGTGCTCAGGAGTGGTATTGAATCAGAGCATTTCCAATTTAGAATTCGTGATTAATGCATAGTTTTTGTAGCTCAACTTTTATGTTTAAACTTCGCCATTAAATGGATCACTGAAGAAAACAGTGTTTCATCTGTACAGACTCTCTTTCCTCCCGGGATTCTCTTAAGGGAGTGTATTTCTTCATCTAACGACATAATCGTCGAGATCCAAAAGCAACTGAAATGCCTAAAAGATAAAAACATCTCAATAGATTTGTTCGCGGACTCTCGGGCGTTTTTGGAAATGAGCGGGCCGATTGGCTTAAAAAGACTGAAACCAAGCACAAAATTGATATCGCTGTTAATATTCCTAAATCATTTTACAAGAAGATCATGAAAGACAGAATGGCCAAGTCTTGGAACCAAGAATATCTCACATCAAATAAAGGGAGCGTAAAGAAAAAAATTTCCAACCATTAATAAGAGACAGTCCAGTCATGAATTTTATACTAATTACAAAATAACCCAATTTCTCTAACTGGTCATGGGAACTTTAAAAGCTACTTGAACCAATTTAATTTAGTTCCGTCATCTTCCTGTGTTGTGATATTGGTGTGTGGCGAGGAAAATGTCGAACATGTGCTCCTTCCGTGTTTCATGTTTGAAAGAGAACGAAATATCCTAAGACTGGTGTTCAAGGGACTTAATATAAATTGGCCTCTGAATATTCAGCAACTTTTCCCTACCCACCAGAAGTGCTTCTAAACAATTCTGTGAATGTGTTGTAAATATTTGTAATCCTTCCTAGCCTCAAGGGATTCATTCCTTTGTAAAATGTGTGATTAATACTTACTTCTGTGTGATACTTTGTGGTGCACGGGGATTTCATAATTGTTTTCAATAAAAAAATTAATTAATCAATCAACAGTTTTTTGGTTTGTTTTCTGGCAGTTTAACATAAAGTAGATGTATTAAAAAAGGCATGTATATTATATGCAATTTTTATACACCAATATTACATTTATTTGGTTATATATGAAGATTTTCCAATAAAGCTTCAGATATTAATTTTTTTTAAATCTTAACCATTTTAACCTATATACATTTAAGACTGTATTAGATACAATTTTAGATGTTTGAATTATATTTCAGTACTAGTTAGGGATTTTAGACACACGTACAAATATTTTTAGAGCTCCGTTTTTTTAAAAAAATTTAGTTATTAAATTATAAACAGTTTGTGGACAATTAACAAAAGATCTCATAAGAGAGTGAATGTTCATGTTTGCGAACTCCGTCGAGTTCTGGTACCTTTACAGACATGCACGTTACATCGGCCTTTCCTTGGCGTGGTATAGAAATTTGTGCTCAGGTGTCTTCCTCGTCACTTGATTGCGTTTCAAAATGAAGAGGTGTTGCTGTGACGTTCAAAACCAATCCATACCTTACATAGTACAGTCGAAATTGAAACAAGTTGCTAAATCCCAAAAAAAGAAGTTCATTATGTAGAAACATATATTCATCTTAGAAACCTCATAAGACAGTTTTTAAATTCAGAAGAACTATATATTATTTAAATAAAGTAATTATTCACTCCTTTTTTATAGATTGTTATCTATTTTATATATCTTATCCATCAGAAATCTGGAATGAAAACAAGAAAATACATTGTCCAGGAATGCACTCTATTTTCAACTTTAAAAAATCATTTTCTATTAAAATTAAGGAATTTTTTTAGTGAGATTTTCTGATTTTAAGCCTACTACTGAATTTTAAACACACATTGTTTTACAACGACTCATTTTAAGTATACACAACCACATGCGTCCTGAAATTTAATTACTGATAAAATCTGTTAAATTGTAACGAATCTATATGCATCCTTCAACTAATCCTCTTGGAAAATCTTTGGGCTATCCATCACAACCAACCCTTTTGAAAGAAGAAACCATGATATGTAGATTAGGTCAGTTACATATAATATAGGTTTTCTAGCTAGTAAGAGAGGTAGACCGCGTTACCTGGAGATTGAAATATAGAGAAGCTGACGACAAGGAAAGATAGCCATCAATCAGGTATTAGTATATATCAGCATGTTTTGGACATTAAATAGTTGATGGTATTTAAGTGACGATTGATCATCATAGCTAAATGGTAACTCAAATATTAGAGTAAGGGATTGATCCCATAAAAGGAGGATCCATTTAATAGAAGTCTCCTCATAATTCGCGTCTCTCGTCGTTTGTTCTCCTATTGCTCTTAGTTGGAACATCTCATCTTGTTTGAATACTAGAATTGTGTCTGTTGATAATTTGTGTGCTGAATAAATAGTTGAAAAGTATTATGGCGAGTCATCCTTCATTTCCTCCCTCACCTCTAGCCGGGGCCGGCAGTAGGTCGTGTATGTTACAAAATTAATTTTTTTTGCAGGAAAAATACAGCAATTTTCTTGCTCTGTTTAAGTTAGACACCTGGTAAAACCAGTTCAAGGTCGTTGATTATCATACAATGTGCTAAAAGGGAGAATAATTTGAAATGTCCTGACATATTTTTAAAATAAGAAGAAGAAAAAAAATCGAATCACAAGAGAAAAGATTCGTTAAACAGGAAATATACTTCGCTATTGGGAGGCTGTTTTACAAAGAAAATA